AGACTTGGAGATCATGTACCATGCGGTAGATCTGTTCTGGGAGGAGGAAGTAGGAAGCTATGGTTGTGAGTGATGAAGGCCACTGCACTGGGTGTGCAGAAGCAGCTGTCATATCCTCTTCCATTCAGCACTTGATTATTGTGTAGCTTTATTTAATGGTGCAAAATACCACATAGAGAAGGAGGAATATAAGGGCAAAACTAATGGCTGCATAGCTGTTGTAGCTTGTAATTCTGACCTAAAATTACTTTAGACATTAGAATTGAAAATACAATTGTGAAGTATTTTGAAATACGTTAAAATGTTGCCTAGCCTGCTGAAATGTTTCTCAGCTGAGGTACCCATGTAAAATGTGTGCGTATGCATCAACAGGCTAAGAAAAAAACAGGAGTCAAAATATTTGCTTAGTTGAGACAGGTTTACTTCCAGTTAACTTCTTAATTCTTTTCTTTCAGTGTGTAGCACTTGGTGGTGCGTGTGTTAATGTTTATAATAAAAGTTACCCATTTAGGTTACGTTATTACTGCTGGTGATGGCTTTTCCTGCTGAAGGTGCTTCGCAGCTCCATGAAGAGGGCACAGAGAAAGTTACCTGATGCCTTTGAGTTACTTTCACTTTAAAAGATGCTGGTGGCCTTTGAATCCCACTTTGCCCTGGTGCTTGGCCAAGGCCAGGGCATCGGACTGCCTCTGAGCCCACTGAGGAAGGAGGTGGTAGAGGGAGGTTTGATCCATGCTGACGGCCCTACCCTTGCTGGTGCCCTCTGTTGCTGGGACTTGGCACCCCACCTGCTCACCAAGCAGAAGTGATCTCAAGAGTGGTCTCCATAGCCAAGAGAGTGGGTTTTGTCAGGCAAGGAAAGATCCTGAAGATGCACACCCTCCCGGTGTGGAACATGGTGCTCTCCCCAGCTCATCTCCCTTGGTACCAGGAGTGTTGGTGTTGTGTACACACTAACTCTTCTGTTTGCCTGTTTGCTCTTCATTATCTGACCCAAATTTGGTTCCATGAGAGTAAACATAGTTGGTCAGAAAGTGTGAATAGTCATTTCCAGCATTTAAACCTTTCTTGCTGATGATGCTATTAAAATATGCACCTGTGCATGTGCGCAGTGTGACCGCAGCTGGAGAGGAAGGAGCATGCACCTGCTCCCGGGCAGCTGGTCAGGCGGGTGGCCCAGCCGTCATGCCTGCTCCTTGCCCAGGGGAAGAAGTTGATGTTCTGAAGGAGCACAGCGTATTCAGTCTGCTCCAGGATTGGTTCCCTCTGGAAAGCTTCCCTGGCCCCCTCCCTGCTGGTCTCCCTCAGGTTTCCCCTGCTGGAGAGGCCTTCCCTGACCCCAGGATGGGACACTGTAGCCCTGCCCTCACTGCTCTCTCCCCAGCTCTCATCACTGTCCGACACATTGCTTGTTTATTGCCTGCTTGCCAGGCAGGCATTTCTAGTTGTCTTAGCCAAAGAGATAACTGAGAGTCAGCCTGGACTTTGCTGTGTGGAGTGGCTGTGGGTCGTGAGCAAGTTGCTGAACACAGACTAGAGTAACCCTGAGTGTTAAACGTGGATAGTAAGAGCTGCCCCATCGGATTATATCAGTGCATGTAGGCTAGGTCCTTGGGATAGCTTCTGAGAGGTGTTATTATATTAAATCACAAACTATTTCATTTAAATGGGAGAGGAGTGGTAATAAGCATTTTTAAAAATATGGTGCCTCTGAAGGGTTAAAGGGCTGGCCCCCATCAGTTTAAACGTGTTGCCTAGTGTTTAGCTGAAAGGATAGTTGCATGATTGTGCAGGGAAGTAGGTTATTTTGGAAATACATGTAAGATGATTATTGTCAGCTATTACATCTTACCCTTTGGGTGAATGCTTATTAAGTTAATATATTAATGCTGGGCTCTGCTGTGTGCTGGGGCTGTGGAAAGAATCTGTGAGACCTTCAGGGAACCTCTGTGGAACCTCCGGGGCTGCGTTTCGAAATCTGAATTCTCAGAATTCTAGTTGATCGTCTTTGAAGGATGCTTTTCCCCTTTTGTTTCTGAAGATATTGATGTCCTATATTTGAAAGTCCCCTTGGCAACAGTATGGCTCTTGTTGCCATATTGGTTGGGAGTGAGGGGAATTGGGGTAGAGGTTGGCTGTGTTGCCTTGGCTGGTCTGCCCCTAGACCCCTGCCTGGCTGTCTGGGAATCTGAGGGGTAGGGGTTGGGGTGGGCATGGGGATGTCTTTTCTGAGCAGGCAAAGGCTCTAGGCGGAGTGTGTGTTCTCCTAGCATGGTGCATCTCTTCTGTTGTGATGTTTAAGTATTGACTGGGGCCACTTACATTGTTATCTGTGATCAATCTTTTTGTCCTCACCTATGAATGAGAGAGATAATATCTACTATTCATTTATTCAGCAAGTACTTAGAGGGCAATTACTGGTTCTTGGCACCTAGAACAAAATGAGTTTTGCCCTCAAGGAGTTTAAAATTGTGAGGATCAAATGAGCAGAGAGAGAGAAAAGTATGGTATCTCATAGATACTTAAAAATATTTTTCTCTTATTTTTAGGGCTTTTTAGTTTAGAATACTGTCTTTAAAAAGATCTGACTCATTGTGGATTACTAATTATTAATTAGTGGCATTGTATATTCACCTCCCTCTTTCCACAGATGATCTGAAGTTTAGTGCATATTATTTCTGTCAAGTTGTTTTTGCATAGTGAGTAGACGGATGCATGAAGAAAATGAATGATTTTATTATAAATAAGCCAGAGAAAAAGTACTACCAGTTTCTCCCTAGAATCTACTTCACATAATTTGAGGACTTTTTTCCCTAATAGGTTGCTTTAAAAAAATAATTAAATTTTTGAAGCAGCTTTAGATTCACAGCGAAACTGAGTGGAATGTGCAGAGATTTCCCAAGTGCCCCCTGCCCCTACACATGCACAGTCCCCCCGTGGGTACCTCGTGCCAGAGCGGTACCTTCGTTACCATCAGTGACACTATCACCACCCAGAGTCCACACTTTACAGCAGGACTCACTGTTGGTGTTGAACATTCTGTGGGTTTAAACACCTTTATAACAAACACTCTCATGTATGTAGCCTACAGAACAGTTCACTACCCTGAAAATCCTCCGTGCTCTGCCTGTTCATCCTCCTTCCCCTCAACCCCTGGCAGCCCCTCCTTTTTACTCTCTTCATAGTTTTGCCTTGTTTTGTTTTACAGTGTTACATACTTGGAATCCTACAGTAGCCTTTTCAGTTTGGCTTCTTTTACTTAAAATGTGCATTTAAATTTCTTCCACGTCTTCTCATGATTCGATAGCTCAGTTTTTTAAAAATACTGAATAGTATTCCGTTTTCTGAATGTGCCAAAGTTTATTCATTCACCAACTGAAGGATACCTTGGTTGCTTCTGAGTTTGGCAATTATGAATAAAAGTGCTGGAAACACCCATATGTAGATTTTTGTGTGGACATTAACTTGTCAGCTCTTTTGGGTAAATCCCAAGGAGCTCACTTGCTGGATCCTGTGGTAAGAGTCTGGTTAGTGTTGTAGAAAACTGCCAGCTGGGGGAGGGATAGCCTGGGGAGAAATGCCAAATGTGGGTGAAGGGGAGAAGAAAAGCAAAGCACACTGCCATGTGTGTACCTACGCAACTGTCTTGCATGCTCTGCTCATGTACCCCAAAACCTAAAATCCAATAAAAAATTAAAAAAAAAAAAACTGCCAGCTGTCTTCCCAGGTGACTGTACGATTTTGCATTCTCAGCTGCAGTGAAGGAGGGTTCCTCTTGCTCCATATCCTCAGCATTTCCCGGCAGTCCTCTCAGCCATTCTGATAGGTGTATGGTGGCATCTCATTGTTGTTTCTATTTGCATTTCCCTGATGACAACGATGACTTCACATGCTTTTTTTGGGCCATCTGTTTAACTTTGGCAAGGTGCTTGTTAAATAAAGTCTTTGGCTACTTTTTAATTGGGTTCTTTTTGTACTTTTGAGTTTAGAAGTTCTTTGTATATTTTAGATAAGTCTTAAAAGTCTGTGACTTTTCTCTCAGTCTGTGACTTGTCTTCTCATTTTCTTGGCAGTGTCTTTTGCAGAGCAGAAGTTTTTATCGGTTCTTACATGAGTGTGTCTTTGGTGTCATGTCTAGAAAGTCATCACCAAACCCAAGGTCATCTAGATTTTCCCCTCTGTTTTCTTGTAGGAGTTTTGTAGTTTTGCCCTTTGCATTTAGGCCTGGGATCCTCTAAAGGGTAAGGTCTGTCTCTCATTTCATCTTCCTGCATTTGGATGTCCAGTCGTTCCGGCTCCATGGGTTGAAAAGCCTGTCTCTTCTTTGTGGGATTGCTTTGCTGATGGCCTGTGCTTTGAAAATTATCCTTATTGCATCCCTGGGAATTTGGTCCTATGGAATTTAAAGCTTTACTAGCTTCCCTTCCCCACCCAAAAATAAACCCACTCCCTTCCCTTCCCTCAGTCCCCTCTCCAGTGTTTTTCTTATCCTCTTTTGTCAAAGAAAACTTTAAGAATGGTCCCTTTGTGAGGTAGATGTGAAGTGAGAGTCATATGAACTGCAGGTGGCAGACGTAGAGTCTTCAGCCTCACAGCTGTCATGCTCGAAACCTAGGGTCCACACTTGTGGCATGTAACCCCCCACCCCCACTCAACACTGTGTGAATGACAGAAACACTGACAGTTCGGCATATAATGCATGACCCAAAGCTGGGTTAGGCACCCAGAGCATTGAGAGCAGGTGCTCTATTTTGGAGGACTCAAGTGGCAGAGCTGGGCTGCAGGTGCCTTTGCTCCCTGCCCCCAGTCCCATGGTGCTGTCCCCACTCATCAGCTTCCGCCATCCCAGTGCTGCTTCAGTCTTTTAAAGTTTTTTTTTTTTTTTTTTTTTTTTAAGACTTCAAAAGTCTTAGTAAGACTGCTGTAAGTTAACATGGTGTTGAATGTCTTTATGTCAAGTAAGATTATACAGAAAGTCCGGTGTAAATGAAAAAATATCCCATCAGGACGTGAATCTGTAGGTCATATTTGACTCACAGGTGTATTGTGGCCCGTATTTAACTGAAGTCGCCAGCACTTCAGTTAGACTTGACATAGAACAGCTGGATTTCTAGCCTCCCTTTAACTCTGGCTGCGCTGGGTCTGGGTGGCATGTCCTGGTCCTGCCACCTCCATCCCTTCTGGCTTAAATCCACCTCGCCCCTCTAAGTTTGTTTTGATTTTTATTTTTGTTTTTTGGCAGTCCCCTGGACTAGAGCTTACATCATGTTCTCACGTAGAGATATGTTGGGTCCTGTGTGACACTGGTGTGTGGTCCATGTTGACTGGAGTCGAGAGGGCGCTAAGAGGGACACAGGCGTGGAGGTCAGAGGGCCAGACCTGGTACCTGGGTGAGCAAGGTTTTAGAAATGCCTTTGGAGAGAGGCCCTGGTAGCCGCTTCGTGGCAGGCCTGAGCTGGGACTAACGCCACACTCGCCCGCTCTATCTTAAGTTCACGCTTGTTTCTTCTTTGTACGTGGCGTTTGGGCTTTCACCGTCTGGTACGGCGCCCTTCACATGAGTGTTCAGTAAATACTGAGTGCTCCGTATGCACAGGACTTTGTTCATTTAAAGATAGCTCTGCTTGTATTCATTCTGCAGAATGCTGCCACGTTTGCCACTTTATTGTTTTAAGGTGATACCTGGTGTACTCAACTGATTACCCCAGATGAGATGTTTGTGAAGGGAAGACTGGGAGTTTAGTTTCCTGACTGCAGATAAGGGTCTCCTGCCACAGCCTCTGCTGATTAGAGTAAAATGTTCACTTGCAACGGCTATTGTTTCAGCTCCATCCCTTCACTTATGCAGAAGCCTTAAATTACTATCAACAGCTTTCATTTTACTTTGCTAAGCTCAATTCTCAATGATTTTGAGATGGGTCAGGCTTCTCTAAAAGGTGTTTAGGTTTCCGAATTAGTAAACATTCAGGACTCATTCATATAATTCTTTTTTTTTAACCACTGCAGTCCCAGCTTAATTTCCATGACAGTTTTAGTTTTTTGAATGGAGTCTTTAAAATACAAAGAACCTAATCCCTGAACTTAATTAGATGAAAATTGGCAAAGCCTACTCAAAACTAATTAGGAAAGACCTAATAGGGACAGCAGGGTAACCATATGTCCTGAGAGTCTGGGACAGGCCCAGTTTATACTGGTGGTCTTGGTCTAATTTATTAACAGACCCACTCTTCCATCTCAAAAGATACTGCTTGGGACAGTGAATTACCTGTAAAGCCTACCTACAGGCATATGAGAATGTAATTTGAATAGTTAAAAACTGGTGGCTCTGGCTACCAGCAGTTAAGGTCTCCCGACATTTAGACAATGCTTATTTTCTTTGAACCACTTTTCAGGACAAAAGGGTAAGAAAAGGAGTTCTCTGTAATGAATTGAAACAGTGCCTGAGTCTGAATGGGAAGTTGCTGCTTTGCAGTGGTGATGGTCTGTAGCCGAGGCTGAACTGTGCATGTGATGGAGGACAGTCATGTAAACAGTTAACAGGAAGAACCAGGACCCAATGAGAACGTTGGCTTTCCCTGCCAGGACATTTGCTAACGAAGTCCGTGGAAGGTATTTGTTAACCTAACCGTAGATTAGATATGGGTGGTTGATGGTTATTCCCAGCAGGGCTACAAGTTCCTGGGAATAGCGTGACCCTGGTATTAGCCCCTCTCAGATTTGCTGGAGAATGACGCAGAGCCCTGAAGCATCTCACAGGAAGGGAAATGGCTTTGCTGGAGTTAAAGGATATAGACGCACTTTTTGTAACAAAGATTAAGGGTTGTTTGGTGGACAGTGGAAATTAAATGAAGTCATCAGTGCCACTATGTGCATCTTAGGAAGGTTTCTTTACTGAGTTTTTTTTAAGCAAGGAATACGGTTGTGATTTTTAACCTGTCTGTATTGACCCGTGTTTTCTTCTGCAGTACTTCTTTGGCACATCACTTAGAAGAGTACTCTAAAACAAATTATAGATTATTGAAAATACCTTTTGATTATAAAATTCTTAAATTTTTTATTTGGTACTGGAGTGCAGTGACGTGATCTTGGCTAACTGCAGCCTCTACTTCCCAGGTTCAAGTAATTCTCCCACCTCAGCCTCCTGAGTAGCTGGGACTACAGGCACATGCCACCATGTCCGGCTAATTTTTGCATTTTTAGTAGGAACAGGGTTTCACCGTGGTGGTGAGGCCGGTCTCAAACTCCTGACCTCAAGTGATTCACCTCCCTCAGCCTCCCAAAGTGTTGGGATTACAGGCATGAACCACCAGCCTGGCTCAAAATATTCTTTATAACAAAAATGTTATTACATATTTGTTATTCCTGGAGTTACTAAAATGAACTGTTAACAATCTCAGGTAATCCCAGCTACTCAGGAGGCTGAGGCAGGAGAATTGCCTGAACCCAGGAGGCGGAGGTTGCGGTGAGCCGAGATCACGCCATTGCATTCCAGCCTGGGTAACCAGAGCGAAACTCTGTCTCAAAAAAAAAAACCCTCATATTCTGGAGGGGGCACCAGGCCCCCACCATAGAGAGTGTGGGGATGGCAGCAGCCAGACCAGCGCAGCATGGGCTTCCTGGGTCCGTGCTTTCTGCTCAGGAACTGGATGGGAAGAGTAGCAGATGTTCCTCCTTTTCCCCAGCAGAAAAAGAAGAATCCAGTGAGTAAGGCATGGAGAGAGTCCCGACCCGTGACTCTTGACTAATCACTCAACTGTCCTATGCTTTTGTGTCCCTATCAGCAAAATGGGATGGTGGGGGTGACAGACCTTCTGCTTTTCTGACTCAGTGGAACACAGTCAATAACAAAAGGAAAATACAGAAAAAAAAAATCTCATATTCTTAACTAATTTTATAGAAGAGTTGGAGATCTATTTTCATAGGATAAAAACAGTTAATCGGGATGTGTTATTACCCTTTAATGATTCAGATATAGTTTGAGTCAATGAAGATAATGCTGCAGTTTCAGCCATATCAGGAGTAGGTGGGTGGACGATCGTCAGAGCAGAGCTTTAGCAGATTTGTGGCTGCTTCTGACATGATCCCATAAGATCTCTGAATTCTTTACCTTGAGGGATCCTCTGTCTAGTACAATGCAGTCATTTTTGGGGGACTGTTTTTGAGACAGGGCCTAACTAACTGTCACCAAGGCTGGAGTGCAGTGGTGTGATCATAGTTCACTGCAGCCTCAACTCCCCAGGCTCGCGATCCTCCTGCCTCAGCCGCCTGAGTAACTGGGACCACAGGCATGTGCCACCACGTCTGGCTAATTTTTAAATTATTTGTAGAGACAGGATTTCGCTATGTTGCCCATGCTCATCTTGAATTCCTGGGCTCAAGCAGTCCTCCCACCTCAGTCCCCCAAAGTGCTAAGCTTACAGGTGTGAGCCACCCTGCCCAGCCTGGTCATTTTATAAATGAGTAAACTTGAGACTCGACCAATTCAAGTAGCTTGTCCAGGGTCTTACAACTGTATTCTTGAAATTGTTATATTCTAAACTTTCTTCCAGAGAAATAGCAGTTTTATTTCTGTTACAAGAAAATTGCTAAACACTCAATTTAGTCATATGACTATACTTTTTCTTCTTTTTCTGAGACAGTCTCACTCTGTCATCCAGGCTGGAGTATAGTGGCACGATCTTGGCTCACAGCACCGTCCACCTCCCAGATTCAAGTGATTCTCCCACCTCAGCCTCCCAAGTAGCTGGGACCACAGGCATGCGCCACCACCTCTGACTAATTTTTGATGGTTTTTTTCTTTTTTGTAGTGATGAGGTTTCACCATGTTGCCCAGGCTGGTCTGGGACTCCAACAAGTGTTCCACCTGCCTTGGCCTCCTTAATTACTGGGATTACAGGCGTGGGCCACTGTGCCTGGCATACCTATCCTACTTAAGGGTCAGGGACTTCAACAATTTCCTGCTGAGTGGAAGAAATTACCTGGAGCTCAGTAATTAAATGTTACCTGCATCTTTGCTACTTAATGGGGTTCCCGTGGTGAGCAGGGAAGTAGCCATGGTTAGAGATGTAGGCGTTGTGCTTAATGACCACCATTTCTCATTGATGTGCCTCAGAGCAAAATGATTCCGTTTCATCTCAGCCCCAGCATGCCGCTTCAATAGGCATCCTCAAAGAAAAGGAAAAGTAGGAGTTAGGGAAAACCCAAGCCACAGCAGAGAAACTGGAAATGTATCGAGGTAAAAACAGAAGATAATTTGAGGAGAACATTGCAGGGGATTCCAGAGCTCAGTACAAATGGCTGCGGTGCTACAGAGGCAAAGATGACAGCCAGAAGCACTGAGAGCTCCTGACGTAGTCATGTGGGAGGGGTGCCTGGGATGATGGGGCAGGGGGATCGAGGGTGCTCCAAGGGGGGGGTGTTTGCACTCAGAGCAAGGGCTGACCTGGAGGCACTGTGGCCCCGGAGCCTGGCGGGTTGGGTCAGGGCTTCTCTAGGTTTTCCTTCCTGCTCCATTCAGATATCAGATGATTTATGGATTTCTTTCCTAAACTGGCTTTAATATTTTATGGACATTTTTGCTTTGAATTACACTTTACATTTCCTAGTCTTAAAGAGCTCTACAGAGAGCATATTTGATTTCTGCCTCTCCCTCTCCCATTCCATGCACCGAGGGTAACAAGAAGATGTTTCCCTAACCTCTCTATTGACCTGCATCAGCCTCTCAGAAAGGGAGCTATTTCCTTGACGTCAGTTTAGATCTAGGTATGTGTTCCACCCAGTCTGTCAGCTAGGAGCTTCTTTGAGTTGTTTATATACCTAGCAACTTTCATCAATGTAATAAATTTATAAAAGCAAATCCTCTGGGACAGGGCAGGGGCCACCAGCCAGTCTGGGCATAGACTTGGCTTTAGGTTCACTTACTGTCAGGTGCTCCCTCTACCCATATGTGCATAAGCACCACTCACACACCTTTTAATCTTACACTACATTTCTTCATTAAAAAAGGAAAATGGGCCGGGCATGGTGGCTCAAGCCTGTAATCCCAGCACTTTGGGAGGCCGAGGCGGGTGGATCACGAGGTCAAGAGATCAAGACCATCCTGGTCAACATGGTGAAACCCCGTCTCTACTAAAAATACAAAAAATTACCTGGGCATGGTGGCGCGCGCCTGCAATCCCAGCTACTCAGGAGGCTGAGGCAGGAGAATTGCCTGAACCCAGGAGGCGGAGGTTGCGGTGAGCCGAGATCACACCATTGCACTCCAGCCTGGGTAACAAGAGTGAAACTCTGTCTCAAAAAAAAAAAAAAAAAAAAAAGGAAAATGGGCGGGCTCAGTGGCTCATGTCTGTAATCCCAGGACTTTGGAGGCTGAGGCAAGCAGATTGGTTGAACCTAGGAGTTCAAGACCAGCCTGGGCAACCTGGTGAAACCCCATCTCTACAGAAAAAAAAATTTAAAAATTAGCTGTGTGTGGTGGTGTGTACCTGTACTGCAGCTACCTGGGAGATGGAAGTTGCAGTGAGCCAAGGTCACCCCACTGCACTCCAGCCTGGGTGACAGGAGACCCTAAAAAAAAAAAAAAAAAAAGTAACACATTTATTTTCAAACTTGTACAGTTTAGCCGGAAGGTACTTTCAGCAACCACTATAGTTTAAAACCCTCAGTCTGTTTTACAGCTTCTCTCAGCCTGTTAGTCAATACTTTTCTCCATGTTTATACCCTTAGCACATACTCTCTGTGAAAGTAACGACCATAGGCAGCTTCTAAAACATTTTGAGAAATAGATTCCTGAAAATGTTTGGGGATGTGGTGTCCTAGTGGGTCTGGGAGAAGTTATCAGTTATGCAGAGGCCTCCCACTGGGGCCGGCCCTCGCTGTGTGGGGTGTGGGCAGCCAGGAATAAAGTGTGCAGTCATATTTGGTCTAGGGAGTAAAAAAAGGTGACCACGACATCATCTCTCCAGAGTATTGTGTGTTTTTTCTTTGAATATGCTACTGATTTTTGCATTTTAAAACATCCTGGTCAGAGGAGCCCAGCCTTGTCCTTGTATGATGTTTACTTCTGTATGGGTGTCATTCAGCAATTTCTCCAGGCCTCACTTGTTATGAATCTGATGTATCAAGCACTGAGCTGGACTCTGGAGACCAGGCTGAGCACCCACACCCTCCCCACTTTGCACAGGTTCTCACAGTTGCTGCACAGCTGTCTGTGTGGCTCTTCCTTGCACGGTCATTCTGGGCTGTTCATCTTGGTTCCGGGATCCTGTCATCTCCTTTTCAAGCTTCTTTCCTCGCTTTAGAGGAGCACATCCTTTAGTAGCTTCCTGGGAAGGAATGAAGGCAAAGTACAACCGAGTCCCGAACAACTCCTTCTCTCACCTGGTGGATAGATCGGAAAGAGAATTTTACATTGAGAACCACTTTCCACCCCTCCCATTTTTGAAGGCATTCTTCCTCAGCTTCCACTAGCGTTCTGTGTCCAGTGTCATTTCAATTTCTGATTATTGTATGTGCCCTTTTTCCTCCTCTTTGGAAATTTTTAGATTGCTTTATCCTGTGGTTTTTGAAACTGTACTTTTTTTTTTTGAGACAGAATTTCGCTCTTGTTACCCAGGCTGGAGTGCAATGGCGCGATCTCGGCTCACCGCAACCTCCGCCTCCCGGGTTCAGGCAATTCTCCTGCCTCAGCCTCCCCAGTAGCTGGGACTACAGGCGTGCACCACCATGCCCAGCTAATTTTTGTATTTTTAGTAGAGAAGGGGTTTCACCTCGTTGACCAGGATGGTCTCGATCTCTTGACCTCGTGATCCACCTGCCTCGGCCTCGCAAAGTGCTGGGATTACAGGCGTGAGCCACTGCGCCCAGCCTGAACCTCTACTTTTATACTGGATACTTAAGAGTGTAACCCAGGCACCTGAGTCCCTTAATTCTGGATCCATTTGTTTATATTGTTTCCTCTGTACTCTTCTCTCCTGTTGTCTGTTTCTCTATCGTTATCTTCTAGGGAATTCTCTGTCTTCAGACTCCCTTGTTTTGCTGTTTGTGTTTGGTTTTGAGGGTTTTTCTTGTCTATAGTATTGTTTTGGTTGCATGGATGCAATGTCTTCCCTTTGAGGACCGTTTTGTGGCTTTTTGTTGTTGTTGAGTTTTTCTGTTCACTGAATTGTTTCTGTTCCTCCAAGGGTTTTGCTTCGCTGTTTCCGTCGTTCCTATTTGGAATGTTCCCTTTTTCAGCTGCCTGATGATCCTTAACTGTTGATTCTCATGAAAGAGTGAAGCATTGAAAAGCTGTCCAGAAGCTATGTAGCTGAGATTTTACAACTAGTACCTTTGCTGTAATGATCCAGCTTTTTGATATTTTTGTTGGCAGACTCTAGGAATCTATGGGACTATTTGGTTGATTCAGAAAAGAGTCTTCCAGTTTCCTGCTTGGGGTGGGAAGTGGGGTAAGTTTTCTGGGAGATAGGTGGGATATGAGGGCAGGATTCTGCTCAAGTCCCCCAATTTCCATCTCCCCATTATCAGACTTCTGTCTCACTTCCTTGTGCTTGGGTATAATTTCTGGAAAAACTGAACTTGAGAGTTACGTATTTATCAAGAAAGTAAATCCAGGGGATTACTGCATAAAATAACTAGTCCTTACTGTACTCCGGTAGTGACTCCATCCCTCCCTCCTGTTGCTATTGTGGTGAGCTCAAGTGTTGCGAACATAGGCCTGAAATAGCTGGATGCCACGAACCCTCTCCACCTGGAGAGCAGTTCATCTCTCCAGAAAATTGCGTATGGCAGTAAAGAGCGATCTCTTGGAGGTCTTGTATTTTTTATCAGGTTTAGTGCAATACTGTAAACCCCAAATAACACCATGGGACCTATATGAAGTACCACGAATGATGCTGAAGTGCTCCCAAGAAGCAGAGAAAAGTCATGACATTAAATAAGTTGAGGGCCGGGCGCGGTGGCTCACACCTGTAATCCCAGCACTTTGGGAGGTCGAGGTGGGTGGATCACGAGGTCAGGAGATCGAGAACCATCCTGGTCAACATGGTGAAACCCTGTCTCTACTAAAAATACAAAAAATTAGCTGGGCATGGTGGCGTGTGCCTGTAGTCCCAGCTACTCAGGAGGCTGAGGCAGGAGAATTGCCTGAACCCAAGAGGCGGAGGTTGCGGTGAGCCGAGATCGCGCCATTGCACTCCAGGCTGGGTAACAAGAGCAAAATTCCGACTCAAAAAATAAAAATAAAAGTTGAGTCGCTTGCTGGGTACTGTAGACAGAGGCCTGCAATCTCCACCCATTTCAGATACAAACGATTGATCTTGTATAAACAGATAATATAACTCACAGTATCAATAGACTGCCGTCAGTGTATTTAGTCTTCCTTCCATGCCATTTTCTTTTCTCTAGTTTCCTTATTGTAAGAATACAGTATATAATTCGTCCACCATGCAAAAGATGTGTACTGTTACCAGTAAGACTTCCAGTCAACGGTAGGCTATTAGTAAAGTTTTTGGGGAGTCAAAACTCATACCTGGGTGTTTGACTGCACAAGGGCCTGGCACTCTAAACCTCCACGTTGTTCAAAGATCCACTGCATTGGGGAAGAGAGGAGAAAATCATGTGAGTTCTACAACCTATGTAGCCGTAAGTCTCCAGTGTGTGCTCTAAGAATACCTCTGTGCTACTGTCTTGAAACAAGCTTGAGAGACTAACAGAATTCTGCAAGCAGAGCCACAGGGAAGCTGTGGCATGACCCAGTGGGTCTGGAATGAGAAGGGTTTGAGATACACAGGGAGATGGGATCGGCAGCACCTGCTTCACACTGTTCTCACCTCATGTAGAAGACAGCTCGGAAGGCCAAATTGATGGCTCAGTGTGTTTATGCTCTTGGAAATGGAGAGGACTTTCACACACAGTATATGGTTCATTGCTAAGAATTTGGAAATTATATACTTTAAACAGATATATGTAAAATATTTGCCCAAATTGCTATTTACCTTTTTATCGTATGGCAGACAGTCATGGTTGTGCTAGCTCCCACTTAGGAGCATGTAGGCTTGTGGGTTCTCTGCCGTGTTAGAGCTTTCCTTCCCATGGGTCCTCAGGTGGAGTCAGTGGTGGGGTCTGGTGGCATGCACAGTTACATAAGACACGTTACAAATGCTGGCCTTGGTGAAATGGGAAGCATGGCTTCCCAGAGCTTGGGAGCATGTTCTGAGGCCCAATAGCAGCTGCTTGTAACTGCTGTGCCCCCAAGTGCCCCGACAGGATTGTAGAAGGACTACATTTGCTTCAAGTTTGTAGAGCCTGCAAAGAATCCTTCCAAACCTTTCTTAATCTCTTTGAGTTCTCACATTACATTTCCCACCTTGTAGCCCTGCCATTTGTATCCAAGAGTCAGCCCACTAGAAAGTGAACAGTAAAGATGCTTTGAGACTTGAGGAGCAAAGTAAAAAGAGAAGTTAGCGCGGCCGTCGAGCCTGGCGACGGGGCCTTTATCTCCATGTTGTCTATGTGGCCTGCCCACCGGGGCTTGAAGGAGTCATGGCGCCGGTAGCTCTCGGCCTTCTCTCAGCAAGCCCCAGGTTACTTCTTTGCCTCTGGTTATTTAAAATAAGAGTCTGAGATTTGCTTTCCTGTAGTTTATAGTAGGTAGCAGAAGAGGCATGTAAAATTTCACATAACAAGTGTGCCCTGTGTGCTGCGTAGGGGTCAGAGTCGGAGTTTCTCCTCCTAGCCGCGGGAAGCTTTGCTCCCCAACCCATAGAACACCTGACCACCTTTTCGAATTAATTGTACAGTGTACGCCCACGTGACACACAAGTGGTATGGGAAGCAAAGTTGGAAACGGCGGCAGCACTTTGGAGGACCTGTAATTCCACCCTAATTCCTGCTCTAAGACCAGACTCACGGGTGCCCAGGAGGTAAAGGTCAGCACTGGTCAGACACCAGCTCCACACGGGGCATGGCAGGCGTGCCAGCTCCCTGTTTTCTTTTTCCTTTATGAAAAAAGGAAATGATACAAAAGTGCCAATTTATATTTCTCTACTATTATGGTGGTTGCAGTGGCTCAGGAAAAAGTCAGAATATGATTATCCAGAGGCAGATAAGCCAGTCAGCCAGAATCTGTATCATCCCTTATCAAGAGTTAGGTATTTAACAATATGAAAAAACAACCATGAAGTTGAAAGAAACAGGACTAATTTCCCAGAAACCAACCTCAAATGCTTTCCTTGAAAACTTTTTGCTATTATTCTACATGCCAACAGACTTGGTAAAAACGTTCATCTCCTTGTCCAGATGTACTGAGGTATTAGGCACATTCCCTTCCTAACCTGATGGAACCCATTTTGGCTGATGGCCATAAGCTTCTGCTGTCCCAAAATCTGTGCCACAGGGCGGAGGGAGAGTTGGTGGAGTGGTGAGTCCTGTGCGTCCTGCACCTTTCCCATCTGCCAGCATTTTCTGAGCCCCCAGGCACCAAGCTCTGTACTGGTGCCAGAGACCCCATGCTGAGCAAGCAGGCCCACTCCTGCCTCCACAGAACCCCTGGGGGCGGGCACCTTCCTAGTCCCCAGGGAGGCCAGCATCATGAAGGGGGTTTTCAGCATGTGCTTGCTTCACCCCAGCAGCGTCCTTGGAGGGGCAGTCCTCCTCTTGCCTCTGATTGGCTTTCCTTTCCCTTAGCTCCCTGGAAACAGGTAATTCTTTGCTCAGGTTGTCCTCTTGGAGTTCTCCTTCTGGCTCTCAGTAGGAAGTTTATTCCCGTAGATAGAAGCCGCAGGGTCTGCTATTCAGGTCTTCAACCAAAGACACCTGAGTCTTTGGTCCCTTTCACAGGCATAGCGGGACAAGGGGGTGGCATTATCTTTCAGGCATGCTCATAGGGTACACTGTGATCTCAATTTTAAACCTTTTCATTAGGGGAAAACTTTTTCATAATTCTGTTTGCCTATAAAATTGTATTGGCTAACTCTGGTTTTAATGAAGCCTTATTTCCTTAAGCAGTTTTGTCTATTAATTCTAACCACATTGGACTGCTCTTGATTGGGCCTTACTAGGGCCTTTTGTTTGCTGTGGCCCATTCGGAAACATTTCTGATATTTGGGTTTGCTCTAGCATGTGCTGGCACTCAATCTTACAATACTAAAATTGTCATTTTTTTTTCCTTAACAGATGCAGCAGCTTTTTTATGAGAATTATGAACAGAACAAAAAGGGGTACATTAGAGATCTCCATAACAGTAAAATTCACCAAGCTATCACGTTACACCCCAACAAAAACCCACCCTACCAGTACAGGCTCCACAGCTACATGCTCAGCCGCAAAATAGCCGAGCTCCGCCACCGCACCATACAGCTGCACCGTGAAATTGTCCTGATGAGCAAATACAGCAACACGGAAATTCATAAAGAGGACCTGCAGCTGGGAATCCCTCCCTCCTTCATGAGGTTTCAGCCCCGCCAGCGAGAGGAGATTCTGGAATGGGAGTTTCTGACGGGAAAATACTTGTATTCAGCAGCTGACGGCCAGCCCCCTCGAAGAGGAATGGACTCTGCTCAGAGGGAAGCCTTGGACGACATTGTCATGCAGGTCATGGAGATGATCAACGCCAACGCCAAGACCAGAGGGCGCATCATTGACTTCAAGGAGATCCAGTATGGCTACCGCCGGGTGAACCCCATGTACGGGGCCGAGTACATCCTGGACCTGCTGCTTCTATATAAAAAGCACAAAGGGAAGAAAATGACGGTCCCTGTGAGGAGGCACGCGTATTTACAGCAGACTTTCAGCAAGATCCAGTTTGTGGAGCACGAGGAGCTGGACGCACAGGAGTTGGCCAACAGAATCAATCAGGAATCTGGATCCTTGTCCTTCCTCTCGAACTCCCTGAAGAAGCTTGTCCCCTTTCAGCTCCCTGGGTCGAAGAGTGAGCACAAAGAACCCAAAGATAAAAAGATAAACATACTGATCCCTTTGTCTGGGCGTTTTGACATGTTTGTGCGATTTATGGGCAACTTTGAGAAGACATGTCTTATCCCCAATCAGAACGTCAAGCTCGTGGTTCTGCTTTTCAATTCTGACTCCAACCCCGACAAGGCCAAACAAGTTGAACTGATGAGAGATTACCGCATTAAGTACCCTAAAGCCGACATGCAGATTTTGCCTGTGTCTGGAGAGTTTTCAAGAGCACTGGCCCTGGAAGTCGGATCTTCCCAGTTTAACAATGAATCTCTGCTCTTCTTCTGCGATGTTGACCTCGTGTTTACTGCAGAGTTCCTTCAGCGATGTCGAGCAAATACAGTTCTGGGCCAACAGATATATTTTCCAATCATCTTCAGCCAGTACGACCCAAAGATTGTTTATAGTGGGAAAGTTCCCAGTGACAACCATTTTGCCTTTACTCAGAAAACTGGTTTCTGGAGAAACTATGGGTTTGGCATCACATGTATTTATAAGGGAGACCTTGTCCGAGTGGGTGGCTTTGATGTTTCCATCCAAGGCTGGGGGCTGGAGGATGTGGACCTTTTCAACAAGGTTGTCCAGGCAGGTTTGAAGACATTTAGAAGCCAAGAAGTAGGAGTAGTCCACGTCCACCATCCTGTTTTCTGTGATCCCAATCTTGACCCCAAACAGTACAAAATGTGCTTGGGGTCCAAAGCGTCGACCTATGGGTCCACACAGCAGCTGGCTGAGATGTGGCTCGAAAAAAATGATCCAGGTTACAGTAAAAGCGGCAATAATAATGGCTCAGTAAGGACAGCCTAACATCCAGCTTTGCTGGAAAAGACATTTTTAATTATCTAATTTATTTTTCAAAAATTTTTTGTATGATCCAGTTTTTGAAGTCCGTATACAAGGATATATTTTACAAGTGGTTTTCTTACATAGGACTCCTTTAAGATTGAGCTTCCTGAACAAGAATGTGGTCAGTGTTTGCCTTTGAACACATCATCTTGCTGAACATTATGTAGCAGACCTGCTTAACTTCGACTTGAAATGTACCTGATGAACAAAACGTTTTAAAAAAAAAAAAAGTTTTCTTTTGAGACCCTTTGCTACGGTCCTATGGCAGAAAACGTGAACATTCCTGCAAAGTATTATTGTAACAAAACACTGTAACTCTGGTAAATGTTCTGTTGTGATTGTTAACATTGCACAGATTCTACCTTTTGTCTTTTTTTTCCCCAAGTGTTTTAAAGCCATTTCCTGTTCCAGTTGTAAGATAAGGAAATGTGATAATAGCGGTTTCATCATTGTCTTCAGGAGAGCTTTCCAGAGTTAGCATTGGTACTCTGCTCAGCATTGCCATGGAGGTGTTGTTTGGTGGGTTTTTTTTTTTTTGGAGACAGAGTCTTGCTCTGTCATCCAGGCTGGAGTGCAGTGGCTCGATCTTGGCCCACTGCAACCTCCACCTCCCTGGTTCAAGCAATTCCTCTGCCTCAGCCTCCCGAGTAGCTGGGATTACAGGTGCACGCCACCATGCCCAGCTATTTTTTTTTTGTATTTTTAGTATAGTTGGGGCTTCACCATATTGGCCATACTGGTCACAAACTCCTGACCTCAGGCAGTCCACCCTCCTGGGCCTCC